GATAGTCTTGTTTTCCTTTTTTGTCTGTCCCAAATTATAATCCACTTTCTCATTAAGAAATATAGTAATCTTTCAAATTATTTAAAATACCCTTATTAAATATCTTGTTATTAATATATTGTTGTGAACTACTAACCCACTACATTAAATACATTGAGATTTTTCAATATTAACCCATTAATTGTAACTGATATTAATTGGCACTCTTCGTGATTAGCATAAGGGTATTTTAGGAAATTATTAATCTAAATTTATGTTTCCAACCAAATTAATTACACTTTCTTAATCTGTGTGAAAAAAAAAATCAAGACTAACAAAACGGGACAGAGGTAGTAATAGGTTTGTTTGGATATTTTTAATTTTTTTAAAATAATATTTTATTTATATTATAAATTTATTTTTTATTTATTTTTTTATTTTATATACATCACACGTTATAAAAAAATATTATAATAATTATTTTAAATAATACTACTCTGTTCAAACAAATATAAATGTTCTATTGTACTTCGCAGCTGTTTCAGCGGGCTGCTGCCAAGTGGGATCAAAATGTGAATATTTGGGAAAGATTTTAGTGTTTCACAGCACAAAACAAAGAAAAATAAAAAAGGATTCCCTATTGTTTGTCGCGGTGACTCACAGTAATTTATTCTTGGCATTCTCCGTCCGGTCAAAACGATGCAAAGTTTACACCCAGGTTATATTAACGCTAACGCTAAGATAGATGGAGGATGACGTTAATGGTATGAATATTATATGGAGAATGGCTAGAGATTGCCAAACACTTCCTTTACAAATTTTTTTTTTTCTCTAATAGGGAAGAGGTGAGATTTTAAGTAGAGGATAAGAAGATTTAGGGACGGTTTGATAAATTTAAAATTTGAATTCATTTAGTTATTGGATTGTTAAGTATTAAATCAAATATATTTAAGTATATATCGCAGTCTGTAATAAATGCATAGTGCATAACTTATTTTTAAGAACAAGTATTACCTAAAAAATTTCAATGACACTTAATTAATTCAATTGTCTAATTTTAGTTATCAAACGCACCTGTTGCATCTATTAAGTTTAAATACTGAATTGATTTATCAAACGATGGTTTATTAGACTTGGAATCTCTAAATCTTGAATCCCTACTCCTAGTTACTAAACCAAGACATTTTAGCAAAGAATTCTACTGACACTTGCTAATTACTATTGGGTATAATTTATGAATTAACTTTTCACGATGCACTGGCAATATATTAATTTTTTTTTACATTAATAGTTTAAAATGTATGTTATATGTGCATAATTTGAATTTTAAATTTAAATTAATATCATGTAGCATATGATTTAAATTTATTAATAACGCAAAAAAAAAAAATTACACTGAGAGAGTGTAAGTGTGAGGGAGAAGTAATGGCTCCTCCTAGTCCCAGGCTCCTACTCCTATTACTAGGATGGAGTCGACGCTGTGGCACTAGAAAGTCAAAAGAGATTCCAGCTAGGGATGGCATCGGGGCGGGACCCTCTCCCATCCCCTGCCCCGTTGCCTATAAACTCCTATCGCTCCCGTCCCATCCCCCGTCCTCCGCTCCCCCACCCCGTCCTTGTCTCGCCTCGCTTCTTTTATGGATGTCCTCACGGGATTAATAAAAATTTGTTATATAATTTTATTATGATTAAATTTTAGTAAATAATCAAGTACTAAAATATCAACACATTATCAAATTATTATTTATTGTAATTTTACAATTGAAACTTATAAAAACAATCAAATAAAAATTATTTGAATACAATCCAACATGATGAAATAAATATAACTAAAACAGTCAAGTTTTCACTTTTGGCACAAATACAATCACTAATTCATTATTGTGCTTGTGCTTTTTTGAAGAAAAAAATGTTATTATATTAAGTGTAATTAGGGATTTAATATAATTGTATTAGTAAACTTAGTATAACCAATTAATAATTTGTATTAGTACACATATATAATTATTAGTATAATTAATAATATCAATTATATTATATATACTAATAGATATTATATAATATATATAACTAATAATATCATTATCATAAATTTGTAATTAATTAAATTATATATTATATATATAATTATATACATATATATTTTATATATTTATTTTTTTTAAAGCCCCGTTTTTAAGCTGAGGGAAAAAATTCCCCCGCCCCCGCCCCAACCCCCTCCCTATTAGTCACCCGCCCCATTGTCATCCCTAATTATGGCTCTTCCCCTTGTAAACAAAACTATCTTTATTAACCGGGAATTTTTCTAAAGCACAAAAATGTTAGTCCCAATTCCCAAACCAATCAGCCTGTGCCAAACAAAAACATCCCCATTAACTGGGAATCCCGAGGGCTTTTCTGGTACATACTCGAATGCCTGATATCCCAATGACGTTTATTTTATTCCCCCCAACACAGCGATCAAACCTCGGAATGTTCCTTTGACTGGACCCCGTCATAACAAGACTATCAATCATGCTTAAAGAAGCTTTTGCTAATATCGCAATGATATTCGAATGGCATTCACTTAAAATTAAATGCAAATCAAGAGGCATTTCCTTGGCCCTGGACGGGATGTGTCTAGCCAAGATTAGAACATCAGGGCCAAACAAGATTTGGAATCATGACTCGTTAAGATATGAGTTCTTTTGGGGTTCATCTTCTCCGTGGGATTCCAGCCGAATTCCTGAACCAACACCTTTTTGGTGGAAAACCGTACACATCACGCCCATTAGCTGGGGTCGGCGGAGATTAAAAGTCCCCTGTGATTAAAGGCTTTGTAATTTGGAGTGGATTCCAACTAATAGCTTAGTTGTTGTTACTATAAAGCAGTAATAAAAGAAGGTCTGCAACTCAAGCGACTACCAAATATTCCAATCGCTAAAATGTGCTAATTGCCAGATGCATTGCCTTTTGGCTTTTGGACCCCACCACCCCCCCTCCCCCGGCGGGAGAGACACTAAAGTTGCAGTTTTGTGGCACGCCATCACAAGGAAAAAGGCATAACAGCAGCAGCAGCACCACTACAGTACTATGACTGATTATTAGAAGCGACAACAACAAAGGACTGCCCGCGTTGGATTGTCTGCCGGTGGAAGTAGCCTTTTTAAATGAGTTTCATCTGGGTTCGATTCCGAGCAGCAATTCAATTGTTATTTTCTTTAACATCGGTCGGACGTGTTCTGTTGGAGCATTGTGGAATTAGTCAGGTGTAAACTCGAATATCTACCGTGATGAAAAAAAAAAAAGGACAACAACAAAGGACTATATCAAGGACTCCTCGTTCCTTCACCACAAATTCCATGTTGAAAGCACAACAAATTTTTTTTTTTAATATAAAAAAAACCCATGTGAAAAAAAAATTATTGCTCCACGTTTTAAATTCCTGACGGTAGTAAAAGATTTCCCATTTCTCTTCGCTGCTGATGCTAATTTGCCTGGTTCCTCCTGAGCGCGTGCAGAGGTGGTGGGGTTGGCCAGCTGGAATCTTCACGACCCATCATTGCCACCCAAAGGAGACAGATGAAAGTTCAAACCCAGAAAAGCCAAACCGAAAGCTACACTCGCTGTGGTAGGACAGCCAAACCAGCCGACGGTCTGACCAGACACTCGCAGGCTGTTTGGCCTGCAATTTTTAAAGAGTTTTTGCTATTTTTTTTGTTTTGGGTCTAAAGGGTGTTGTTATATTTTTAAAAATATAATTTTAATTAAGAAATGTAAATAAACACAAAGAGTAAGTTCTGCAGATACTGCTACTAACTTCTCTGGAGTCTGTCTATTCTGGAAAGAGTGATCAAGCGCATTGACAATCACGAAACTCCCCATTTCGCAGAATTCAAATAAGTTGTGCATATTTCTTGAATCTTTTCTTTCTGCTATGGGCTGGATTGTACAAAAACGGTCATCTTATAAAACTTAGTAGCAAGCAACCCATAAAACATCACCGCAAGCTGGCTTTCTTGCTCCAATTCCGGTCCAGAAAAAGATTCTTTGCATGGACAGATCCTGCAACTCAGGATTGCTAGGAAAAAAGAAAATCATTAATCGGCTCGATTCCATTTTCCTCTCGGGTTGATGTCCCATTTAGGTTTAGGGTGACGTACGCCGACAGTGATTCAACAGGAGGTAGTTGGCTTGTCTGATCCCATCATGAAGGTCGTTTCTTGGATTATGGAATTTTTTTAGAACATCTCTTCTTAACTTATTCTGACGGGCTTTATTCTGCTTCTTTTTCATACAGGTTGGTTTTGTTACCACGGGATCAGCAGACAAGCTTTTTCGACACAGAGCAAAGGAGAACCATTGTGAAGACATGTACCATTCTCAGAATTCTAAGCACTATAGACTGAGATAGCATCTCCTTTGGTATATCCATCGAAAAGATTCATCCTCAGCTAAAGCTGAATGCCTTTTGGACAGGGAAGTCGAATCAATTCTCTTGTCGTCTCCAACCTTTAGGATTTGATTCCTTGAAGGCTGGGGGTGGGAAGCATCGGATACACTAGAGTGGCATAACCACTTGAGAGGAAGAACTTGTACTCTTTCAGCCGCTTACTCTGATGTAGCTGTCCTCTTCAACATGGACAGTAACTTCACTTTGTGCCTTTTAAGATTAGAAGTTCGAATGACCAAGAAGGGGAATAGAGGATGGAAGATCCAATTATCCCCTGAGCGTTCTATCTTGCAGGATTGAAGTTTATGCAACATGAGTCAAATAACCATGATTTAGTCGATAGAAAAAATCGGATGTTGATGTGACTAAAGCAAGATGCGGAGAGGATAAGGTGGTGATATTGACACATTATTTGCTTGATGCTGAATTCCTTATCAGTCCCCTGGGCAGAAGACCAATAATGGAGAATATACTTAAATACAGGAACAGAACACAAGAAAATTCTCAAGACACATGTAATCAGTATACTACAAACAAGTACTCTGAAGACGACCAAAATATCGACGGATCCATCAAAAAGATAATGAAAAGGAAGGTTGGTAGCCCAAGTGGAGCAACCGGAGCAAAATCACTATGGAACAATGAAAAAGAAGGCTTGTAGCCAAAAATACACGAAACATCTTTCGCAGTGTACCCCTTTTTGACAAAGATTGCAGCGAAGAACGTCGCAGCAAAAGGTAAAAAGTAAAAACAGATTCTTTAAAAATAAAAATGATGTTTAAACAATGATGCTAGGCATCACATACACAAATTGAGCAAGAAATAACTATATGTGATGTGGAAAGAATTGCAATATTCTACAGGGTTCTTAGCAGATTAGAAGCTTCAACTTGCAGAACCTTCCAAGCATCAACTACATGTCTTTCTTCTGTCAGTGGAGCTCCAACTGCGAAGCGCAATGTGTATTTGTTTGACAAAACCTGCATTATTTTTTGAAATTACACTCCAATGAGACCTGAGAGGCACAAAATACAAATAGAAACTATAGTCTTCACTTCGCATACAGTAAGTGGTGAAGTGAAGATAGAACCATCACGCAAGGTCCTGATGCAAAAAAAGATGAAAAATGAAGTTGAGCATACTGTGTGAGAAATATAGATCTTTCCAGTCGAGTTTGCAGCATCCAATAGGTCACGGTTCAACTTGTTAGCACAATCTTCATCACTTTGAGGACTCAGAAGACGGAAGCAAACCAGAGAGAATTTCCTCGGGGCTACAATCTGCACAGAACCATTGATGTCTGATCAATACGTTCAATTGCAGTATATATATGTCATAACGTTCACCAAAAAAAAAAAAAGAATAATTTCTCTAACCACAAAGTCAACACTTTTTACAGAAGAAAGCATAAAACACTTAACAACTAATTTACAACAAAAAGAGTATTTTGTAGGAATACTAAGGCAGGGGAAGTTTTCCAGGCTAAAGCTCACCCAAAATATGTCAATTAGAATTTGGTAGAGATCGAACTACATAATCTGCATTGATATTGTGGTTTTGCCAGCCAAAATCAGAGTTAGAGACTGAATATCACGGCCCAGATCAGTCATGATTAACTGCCTAGGAAGCATTTTGTGCGAGTAGATATCAGAAGCTAACAGAACATGAAAGACAAACAGCACATGGACAAATGTCTAGAAGAAGCAGGAATGTACCTCTGCCTTTTCTGAATACTTAAGTTGGAGGGACTATATGTCGTCACTTTTTGCACAACAGGAGTTACATTCCTCAAAATTTTGAAAACTGAATTAAAAATTGCCTCACCAGAAAAGATCCTGCAGACTCAAGCCTCCTCTTACAAACTATAACCCACAAGTATGTGAGTGGGAAACTATTCGCAGAAACAAGAATTTCTCAGGACTCATAGTTTCTAGGTGCTCTTTTACTTAATTCCTTGTCAAATTCAAGTTTCAATTGATTCCTGAACCCATCAACAGATAGCACCACAAAATATCACCCGAAATGGGTTAAAAAATTAGTTTAAACTTCAATTTCTCATGGTTATCCAATGTAATTGCAGCACTTGGAATCTGTTTTTCTACAAATATACTACAAAATCTGTTCTCATAAAACTTATTATTAAGATTCTATTTTCAATATTCCAGTTCATGCCAATCCATATATTCATTGAATGCCAAATCATGCAGGAAAAACAAACTTCAGCACCACATGGACGCTCTCATTGTCCAGGTAATGACTACTAGGAGCTTCTGATCAGGCATGTAGAAAAAGGATGCAGAGACATCTTCCAAACTCGTATCTCTGTTGACACCTCTCCGACAGATAATTAAATGTCAAGAACTTCTTGAAACCTTGCATTCAAATCATTTTAAGACTCTCAATATTCCTTTCTTCCTTAGAGAAGGGAGTTTGAAGGAATACAAACAGAAGCCTATCAGTAAAACCAAAATTAATGCCTAGATACATATTGAGATACTATAGGCAAATGATAACATGTAAGTTTGCTAATTAAGGAGGAATACCCATCTAGAGTAATATCTTCCCAAATGAAGAACTTTAGCTGTTCACAGCTACTTAATATGAGAGTCAAATACAACAGTAACAATTGAACAGACTAACAAAGTCTGTCTGGCTTGTCACATAGTCCATATCATTCAAGTAAAGGACATTAGTGTTCACCTCAAATCTCGAATCTTGAGCAACAAGTTCTTCAAAATCCCTAGCCAATTTGATGTGGTTTCTTATGTATGCTTGTAGATTCTCCAACCCATAGAGTCTTAATACCATCCATAACTTCAGTGACCTATCAAACGGGAAAAAGAGACATGCTAAAAGATGATAATCTGGCACCAAAATAGAACACCGTTATAGATTCACAGCCAAACGTCATCTTATAAATTCAAAAAATATGACCCAAGGTTGGTTTGTTACAACAAAAAGGCTCCTATCAACAACCAGGCATTCTGTATAGGAGATCTAAGTCCTCCTTGAATCTCATCAGTAAATTTAGGTCTACTTTGAACATCTCAACTTACAAGAAATTCTATCTACATCCACTGACTGCAAATCTGACAAGTATCAATTATATGGAGCAGTTATATTACCGACTATAGTATCTATAGTCTGTATGCCTGATAGACTCACACAAATTGTGCTAGCAATAATCCCAGTCAGAATTTGTCGACAAAGACCCCACCTCTAGAGGATCCCTTCAAAATTTCCAAACTAAAACTTGTATTTGATTTTTTGATTCTATTAGATGTTAAAGTCCATTTAAAGCCACCAAATACTAGGTTTTAATATTGGTCTAGAACACTTTGCTACTTCAAGGAATCATTTTGTCTTGGCAATGTCTGATGGCACACCTGAACCTGCGCCCAAGAGGAATTTGCCAATCTTTGTAGTCCACAACCACGTTCTTTTCAGAAGCCTGAAATGTCATTGGCATAAGCAAAGTTGTGTAAATCTTCCAACCGACATATCATCCTTCTCAACTAAACTATAGAAGGGTTAGATACACAACAAAAACGTTGATAAGACTGCACCAGCTTACTTGGTCTTTGAAAATATATGTATGCTATATTATTTGTATGTGTTTGTTTGTGTACAGAGGCTTAAATATTCAGACCCTCATCAATATAAAGGTCTTTTTACCGTTTCCTTTTAGAGATTCCCCTTAGTACAAAGTGCAGGTTCTCACATTATTTTTGAGAAACTCAGGGTTCGTTGAGAGTGATTGAATTAGAGCACTTCGGTCCTGTAAAAAGAAGAATGAGATAAGCCAGTGAAAAATTTTCCTTTTTGCAATAAGTTCTACAACATGAACCAAAATAGATACCCCAAGAAAATAAGATGGGACATTATTGTACTGCTAGGATAGAAATAACATAGCTTAGAGATGTTAACACAACAGCATACCTTAACCCAAAGTATTGAGCAATCAAAGTTAGTCAAGAACCACTTATGTGCATTCATATTGAATGAGTCAGCTTCCTCAACGCCATCAATGTAGTGGCGTAGTTCTGGACAAACACATGAGCTGCCAGCATAGGCAGCATCCACATGAAACCAAATTCCATTACTCTGTAAATACATCGTACATAAATCTCATTAATTTAATGAGATAGGTATTACATGCATATACTAAATTAGTAGGGTTTAATGAAGACCATTCAAATGTAGAGATTCTCATCCTGTTAGCTAGAGTTTCAAAAAGCATTTTGTGTTTAAATTGAAAGATGATCACCAGAAAGTGTTTGATTGTAGACACTTAAAAAAGCATTAACATTGATTCGGTACCTGATTCCAATTTCAAGAAAAAACTTTTCAAAGAATACATCAATCCATAAGCAATGGGCTCATCTACCTTTTACAAATAGATCACCTCCTTCAAAGGATTTGTTTGAGATAGAAATAATCAGTTAAAAAAAGCATGTAAGTAATAAGCTACACATAAATGCTGAAATATTGCCAAATGCATTATTTGAGAAAATAGGAAAGACAAAAGGAAAAGAAAGAAGCATATGATAACTTCACCAATCAGGAATATATTTGACATTCTCTCAGCACATATTGGAGTAGATACATCCCCTCAGTCTCAGTAGGTTACCTTTGTAATCTTCCCTAATGCCAGCAATGGATCTACAGCTGTTGATGATGTACTACCAACCTGCAGGCAACATGCAAGAGCTCCTTCAATTCACCAAGAACTTCAAAAGATAGAAACATACTCATTAAAATGAAATTATATGAGGAAATACAGGTCTTTTAGTCCAAATTTTCAGTTAAAGCTCAAAATATTACAAACTATCACAAATTTACAACACAAAATATCTGTTGTAGACAGCTTGATACATCCAGTTGAACAGATATATTAGCACGAAAGTCCAGCCCCAATTTCATTAAGCTGTTTTACTCTTCTTAATAACATTCTTTATTCTTAAATGGAACTTACACAAAATTTTGAACTTTACTGTTGACAAACAGAGGCTTATCCACAAAGGATGCAGCAAAGAAAGGGTTTCTGCTTGCCAAAATTACAAAAAGTGAATAAACTAATCGACTCCACACCTAACCAAAATATCTCAAATCTCCTTTTGAAATGAAGGAAAGACATAAAGATTCGATGTATGTAAATTAGAAGACAGACCTGTCGAAAATCTTGACAATATCCTAGCCAACAACAGTAGTTGAGTACACAAAAATAGCAGACACAAAATAAGCTATTCACAAAAATTAACATCAATTCACTAACACTTAACTGGAACAAACATGACAGAACTTAATAAATTTCAGTAATGTATTAGTATAAAACTCAAAAACCACAGGAAAGCAACAATGAGAATGCATCTATTTTACTGATCCTAATGTCTGCGAGCAAGGCCTTTTTTACTTCCTTACAGTGGCACACAAGAAGAAAGGGACTAAACCAATTGCCAGATCATGTGTGATCGCTTCGCTAAGTGACTCCGGAGAGAGAGCATAATCAGTTGAAGAGTCCGTTTTCAGCACTCTACAATTATCTGGATGAATTCCTGCTATCTGCCACAAAATGTAAACATAAAACGCACTCACAACCATCAATATCACACACGAAGGCCTCAAACACAACAAGCAGCCTAAAATGACATAAAAGAATGGCAAAACCATATCCCTGTCAGCAAAATTGGCACTGCTAACATCAGTGAATTACCACAAACCACAGATGTGTTAGCAGTCCCTCGATGACAATGATGATTAAAAAGAAGAAGAAAATTGTTTGTATGCCATGGGGAAAAGCCATTTGGGGAGATACATAATAACACATTATGCACATCTCCTCACCTGGCAAGCTTTTTGTAAAGCTGAATGAGTTTGATCAGAAGAATAAACTACAAGCTTTCCAATGGCATCTTTTCCAATCTTTCTAAGAACTTTATCACGAGCAGCTAAAAGGACAACTAGTACAGCTTCACTTGCTGTGCCTTGTATCACTCCACCACCTCGACCTGGGACCCAAGTCTCAATCAGGAAAAATTTGAGAAGGCCAAGAATTATGTAATTTACCTAGCTGAAACCTCAGTATGCAGTAAGAAAGTAATATGTGCAAGAGCAAATACCAGATGAACAGCCTTCACAGAATAAAAACAATTCACAATTGAATAAACGAAAATGCAAAGCTAGCAGTTTGGAATAATTTATCCCTACCTGAAGCCTGCAGAAAGAGGAGCTTGTGCACAAGCTCTTCTCTTTCAGATATTCAAGTTGTGCTCTTTCACACTTAAGTTAATTGCCCTGACACAGGAATTAACCCAATATTTTTGAAATTACATTTTTTTCTGATGTATATTCTGGTGAAGAAGAAGCCAATGTCAATTATTTTGTCGGCAAAGACTTGCCGGCTTTATAGCATCTACAACAATAATTTTGAAACTATAAAATCCTTTTGCTGAAATTAGCATCAGGAGAGGGCTAGGTCATGTTTATGAAACCTAAGCAAAGGTAACTTACCCTTTCAATAACCAACAAAAGGATTGAAGAGAATCCTTGCATGCTCAGTTTAGTTCTTAATTCTTATTTGCCAATAATGGGTTATTGGTTTGCGAAAATAACACCTTGTTGGAAAAATGACATTTTTTAAGTAAAAGCTTTTAGCCACTTTAGTATACCAAACACTTGGAAAATATCTTTTACAGATGATAGTATTCTCCAATTTGTAACTCCTTTATCTAGAAAAATAACTAAAATTTCAGGCTTCATGACATTAGGTGTTGAAAAGCTTGGATTCTAGCCCAAGAGAAGAAATAGGATGAAGAGGACTACTTCTTTCTCTAGACAGAGGCATGATTAGAAAAGACAATTGAGTGCAGCTGTAGAGTAAAAGAACCAACTCCAAGAAACTAATGAAATCCATACCCGTTGAGAGGAAATCATCAGGCAGATTTAGCGCTTTGGCAAGCCAGTCCAGAACTATCATCTCTAGTTCTGTCGCTGCAGGAGAGGTTATCCAACTAAAGCCTACCATATTGATCCCAGCACTGAGCATTTCTCCTAAAAATCCTGCAACACTGCTATTAGAGGGATAGTATGCGAAGAAATTTGGGCTTTGCCAATGGGTTACCCCTGGTAATATCTTCCGCTGCATATCTTCAAAAATAAAAATGGTAACGTACATTAGTCTCAAAGGAAGATTATGCAGACAGATCCATAAGTTTTCGCTGGTGCAGATAATTTGGAATGACCATGCAATTGATGAAATGTCAATTCTGCTCTATTTTTCCTTTATTCTCTAAGGTCGTGTTTGGTTACTTGAGAGAATTCCTAGTTGCAAATGGTAGGATGCAAATAAAAGTTTCTATCTGATCCAATTCCGATTCCCACTCCAGTCAGATATCTCTTAAGAATCATGCACAATGTTAAGTTTCTTGTAATTCACTTTTATCTTCTTTACTTCAACAGCTTATGATCTGTTTTCCAGAACCATGATAAATCCCGCTACGATGGACCTGACCATGTTAAGAATCACATTAGGCACACTTCCACAAAAAAAAAGTTGTAAGAACAAAAGAAGAAACTTCACCATCGAGAACATCTTCCAGAGTATCAGGATGAACCGGCGCAGACCCTGGCAAAAGCTGACGCAGATATCCGGGCTGCATAGAGTCATACAGGAAGAATAGAGTAGACATCCTGTCAGCAATCATTCGCACAGAGTACAATATGCTCTTTGAACAATAAATCGCCAATTTTTGTTGTTCAATGAGAAGGAAAAATAATACAATAGTCAGTTATAGTCATAGACAATGTTTAAGCCCAGCATGCATTATGCATGTTACCGTCATGAAGTTTCGAAGTAGTTAGCCCCCATAGAAACAAACACATTATCTCGTGTACAGGCATAAACACACTTGACGGAAACGCATGCAGGATTCACAAATGAGTAGCCTTTTGGAAGAAGCCACTTTAGTCCCAGGGAGAAGACTACGTCAAATGTGTAAAATCCCACGGGTATGAGAAATGGGTTAAACAGAGGAAGGACGAGAGTATCGGTAAAACCTGGACTTGGCTGAGAACAGGGAAATTCTCAATGTCCTTGTAGTAATCAGCTATGAAATCAACCATCCGGTGACCGCATTCTCTCAATTGCTCCGCATTCATTGGCTTCAACTCCCCCTCCCTTCCAATTCAGAAGAGAGGAAATTAACATATATAAATCATTTTCAAGAAAGCCATCATAACCAGAGCAAGTAATAAAAGCGTCCACTCACATCTTTCTGGTGAAGCAAGGCTGAGAGAGAAAGATATGCAGAAAGTTTGAAGAACAGAGGAACTGAGGGTGAAAGTTTGAAGTGAAAGTCCGGATTTTTAAAATTTCAGCTGAAAGGAGAGGAAGCAGTTGTAGTAGTAGCAGCACTAGGCCTACAGCCGAGAGCAGAAATTCTGAGTGGTAAATGCGTGCGTTGCGTTGCGCTGTTTCTGACGCCGATTTTGGAGCTCTTCGGGAGTTGGCAGGAGGAGAAACATTCCGCTTCTTTAATTTAATGTTGTGCAAAGATACTCTAAAATATCTGGGGGGATTCTGCACTAGCGGCTGTCCGATTCTTCCCTCTTATTTTATTTTATTTTATTTTTTATCGGACACGATAGATCTACATTTATTACATGAAAAAAAAAAAAAAACTTGACGATATTCAAAAAAAAAATCGAAAGGGATTGAATCACCTACCCATCCAGTGTGCACCACGCACCACTCTAGAAGCCATTTAAAGTGACCTGCTACATTTAGTGACAAATGATGGGAGGTCAAGGGCACCTACACTTATTCTATACTATGGGAAGAGGAGTTCTAAAAAGACCCAAGGACTACTGATGATCCAGACCAGTGCACCACGCACTTGTCTGGAAGACATTAAAAGATACTACGGTAAGAGGAGTTCTGAAGAAGTCCAAGGACTATCAACCCAGACCAGTGCACCACCCATCCGTCTAAAAGACATTAAAAGTGGCCTGCCACATCTAGTGACAAATGGTGGGAGGCGGGATTTCATTTAACTTTTGGCCTTTCATTTCAACAAATCTTAAAGGCTTCGGTGAGAGCCGCTGAGCTAAAGTTCAATGTCTCTCTTATTTTACTAAGATTTCCTTGGAATTATTAATAGAATTCATCCAAAAAAGAAAGAAAGAGATTAAAAATTTTTACATATCTAAATGGTACAAAAACAAATGCTATAAAATTCTTAAAATCAAAAAGTTTGTATGTTAGTATTTGGAACAAGATTTTCCTTATTATTATTAATAAAAACACCATTACGTGTTTCAGATGTCGTGATCAAAACTGCACCTTTGGCGGATAGCCACAATACATCCAACCCCTCACGGGTCACGGGGGTGATGACTGATGAGGATGTGGATGATTGCATTTTTGGTAAAATTGAAAATTTCCCAGCTGTGTTACCGACGATGATCCCCACTTTTGCAATCTGGAAAATCTCTCATGAACTACACGACTTTTAGTTAGTAGTTGTCGTCATGTTCTTCGTCTGCCTGCAGCGGCCGCGTCTATCATTCATTCGAGTCTTGCGGTTTGGGCTATTAAAGGTGGGCGTGGGCCTGGAGTCTATCACTCGAGTGTATGTGGATTGATAAGGCAGATCTCCTGGGCTTCTCCTGCTCAGCTTGCTAGCCAGGCATTGCATTCGATACACCCAAACAACCAAATATCATGATGTACGGTACAATTGGTTAATTTTTTTTCTCACTTTAGATCATAGTTAGTGTCGAATCAGGGTTAGTTTGGGATTGCGATAACTTATTGAAAAGTATGTCATTAAATAAAGTTTTTAATAAACACACTTATTAAGAGTTCAAGTACTTTTAACTATATATTATTTGGATTCACGGTTCAATAAGTATTTATTATATTGGATCGTGAGCAATTTTAAATATATTTATCTCGTTACTTAGTTCATGAAATAGAATAAAATAATTAAATTTAATATTTTATTTTTAAAAAACACACAAGTTATTCTTTGAAAAAGTATCAAATTTTAACTTTTGCTAGAAGAAATTTTAACACTAAAAGCTCCGCCCTTGATTTGATTATTATATGGAACGGAGTTCACCAAACACTTCAAAAATAAATATTTTTAATACCTGAAAATGCGTTTTTATGAAAAGCACCGTAGCTCCAAATGGAACACTACTACTAATATTTTACTTCGCCCGTTTTCTATAAGAGAAGAGAAGAAGAGGAAATGCTAAGTAAGGTAGCTTGCTGGCTAGCTGCTCAGGATCAGGAAACCCGACGCAGAGGTTTCTCAAAGCGCATTTATCAAGACTCGGTGATGCCATCATCATCATGGACTCATGATTGCATGCATTCATTTCGCACAGCGTTACTCAACTCAAATAATTTTCCACTTTTTTGGAAAGAATCTCAAATTTATTTAGCCGCATGAAGATTCTTCTGATTCTTACTACTTACTTGTATAAATAAAAGCCCGTACATGGGATGAATCCAAAACAAAACAAGCACATGCAAAACGTAAACGTACGAGTTTTTTTTTTGCTTTTTTGAGGTAAGCACGGATGATTCATTAACGCAGTTAGTCAAGACCCCGATTTCTTGTAGCCATCCACGTATGATTCTCCTATGGTATTTATTTATTACTAACAACCATATCGATCGGCTGAATATTTATTATGGATTGCAAAAGCCTGAAAGGACACATGATAAATGAAGGATTTTTTTGTTTTTTTTTTTTTTGAGAATTGTCTCTATGTGGCAAGTATTGATTATCTTTAAGAGTTTCGTTTCGTTTCGTTCTTCTAAATTGTTTGGATTGCATTTTTTTGTAAAAAAAATTATTATAGCGAGTTGATGTATGTGACTAATAGAAAAATATAATCATGAAAAATGACGTAATTTTTTGACAGAAAAATGACTGTAAAGCCTAATTTCACTCTAAAAATGGTTACGGATTTCAAAAGTGGTGCGAATCGAAATAAGCAGAGCATTAGAAGAAAGTGTGCATTAATTTTGCGGACGGCAGATGCCAAAAAGAGAAGGCAATAAAATAAGTCTCTGTTTCTCGGTGCCACAGCAAAAGCAATTGCAATGATGATCATTCTGAAGATCGTATAATGATTTTGAGAGATTTTGACTAACACCTAGTGATTAGTAAGAGCATTTCATAATGACGATGTTGCTTCCATTTCTTTCTTCTTCTTCTTTTTTTTTTTGTTCCGGAAAATGGGTTCAAATGTGGTAGCTAGCTAGTGCGAATTGGTTCCATCAAAATTAAGACGTAAAGATAGTTATTTACCGCAGCAGTTAATTTTGCATGAGATTCGGTAGCATACTCAAACGGCGCTTGTTGATTATGATTAGAAAGCAGTGGTGTCACTAATCTTTAAAATCAAAATGCTTGCTTTGAGGAAAAGGTGGTTGAGTATTAAGATTAGGCTGTGTTGGGTGTTGATTAACACAGGGATTAATAAGTGCTTCCCAAATCCTAATGCCCATGTTGTCCGGTACAGCCGCTGCCAGGGACCGTAATTTTTAGTACTAGCGTTGACGTCAATAGTACTTCATCGTCAATAAATTAACGCCGCCCGGAGTTTGTTGGTCTCAAGTGTCATTTTCTTTGGTCTAATCTCCACGCTCTCGTGTCTTGTTGAAGTTTTAATTCGAGCCGCCTCACACTCCTGTGTCTTGTTGACGTTGTTTCGAGCCGCCTCACTGGTCACTTGCTTGGTCCTCAAACGCGATAATTACCTTGCATTCCTGCTGCGCGCTGTTCTTTATTCTTTGGCGCCCGCGACAACGACAAAGATTCGGTACAATTGTATTTTGGGCGATTCTGTTCGATCACTGTATACGTTTAGATTTTATGTGCATAAATACACCATTATATTATATTGAATATATATTAAATGTTTTAGTCATATACATCGCCTTTTTATCCCTAATTGGATGACAAATTATCCCAGATAATATTTTGTCTGCTTCGTAAACACATTTTTCAATTCACTTTTTCGTATTTTCAATCATCTTTTTATCTCTCACGTGCATCGCATCACAAAAAAAAAGAGTATATAATAATATTCCTTTTATCTAAACGTCTAATGGCATTAGTCTATTACTCTTCATTGGAGGAAGAAAGGTCAGTCCAACACATATATACATGATATACAGTGGTTCTTGCAGATTATCTATCAAACAAGAATGATAGTAGTGAGATTCGAACGCGCGATACGGTGACTTTGTTTTTATTAGAACGACGACAGATATATTATCATTACTAGAACGACAACAAGTGTGCTATCATTACTAGAACGACGAAAGCTTTGAAGGAAGACAGACCCACTACCGATTCTAAGACAAAGATACATCGATATCAGTTATGTATAAGACGGTTTATAAAGTGCGTTTTTTTACAGACTACTCGTCAAGAGTGACAGTGGGACTCAAACTCTTAACACTCTCGACACAACGACCAATTTTTTCTGGAATTTGTATAACTACAGGGAGCGTTAGTAATCAAGCTACGGATGAATAATGATCCACGATTCCAAATTCGTCATGGTAGTATTTAGTAGTAGTACAGTATGACCCTGCAGCCGCTGTACTTTTGCAGACATGGTGGGTTGATAGGATAGGTTTGCCGAAATTTCTGCTGACTAGCTGTCGTTGCGTCTCTCTCCTCCGGCATCGTTGTTACCGACGCTCCGGAGGCAATCCCCCGACCAATACCGTAATTACCAGAAATTTCGGGTCAAATATTTGAAAAAGAAAAAAACAAAATGAGCGTCGTTATCATCAGCACTCGCACTAGTAGTACTGACATTTTGGATAAATATCTTGGAAAATGTGCCAGTACTTTCTAGATAGTGCCTCTCAAAATTATACTACTCCCTCCGTCCCACTTTGATAGTCTTGTTTTCCTTTTTTGTCTGTCCCAAATTATAATCCACTTTCTCATTAAGAAATATAGTAATCTTTCAAATTATTTAAAATACCCTTATTAAATATCTTGTTATTAATATATTGTTGTGAACTACTAACCCACTACATTAAATACATTGAGATTTTTCAATATTAACCCATTAATTGTAACTGATATTAATTGGCACTCTTCGTGATTAGCATAAGGGTATTTTAGGAAATTATTAATCTAAATTTATGTTTCCAACCAAATTAATTACACTTTCTTAATCTGTGTGAAAAAAAAAATCAAGACTAACAAAACGGGACAGAGGTAGTAATAGGTTTGTTTGGATTTTTTAATTTTTTTAAAATAATATTTTATTTATATTATAAATTTATTTTTTATTTATTTTTTTATTTTATATACATCACACGTTATAAAAAAATATTATAATAATTATTTTAAATAATACTACTCTGTTCAAACAAATATAAATGTTCTATTGTACTTCGCAGCTGTTTCAGCGGGCTGCTGCCAAGTGGGATCAAAATGTGAATATTTGGGAAAGATTTTAGTGTTTCACAGCACAAAACAAAGAAAAATAAAAAAGGA